TTTTTTTAAAATCTAAGATTACGAGATTAAAGTCGTAATATTTCGAGAATAAAGTCGAAATTACGATAATAAAGTAGAAATACTACGAGAATAAAGTCGAAATGTTTCGACAATATATTCTCGAAACATTTCGACTTTATTCTAAACTCCCCCAAACTCATCCAAATACTGTTGGCAGAATAAATTTGAATTTTAACTCGCAACCATACATTTATTTAAGATGTGGTAACAGGTTCCCTGAATTGTGAGCACTTCACATATTTTTTTTTGTGTTTTTTTTTTTAAATCTAAGATTACGAGATTAAAGTCGTAATATTTCGAGAATAAAGTCGAAATTACGATAATAAAGTAGAAATACTACGAGAATAAAGTCGAAATGTTTCGACAATATATTCTCGAAACATTTCGACTTTATTCTAAACTCCCCCAAACTCATCCAAATACTGTTGGCAGAATAAATTTGAATTTTAACTCGCAACCATACATTTATTTAAGATGTGGTAACAGGTTCCCTGAATTGTGAGCACTTCACATATTTTTTTTTGTGCTTAGTGATTGATGCATTTTGTACATCAGTTGAACAACTTGTGTTTTAGTCTTTTATTACATTTTGAATGACAGACATGGCAGCCCTAATTACTTCTGTTTGTTGTTGTTCAAGATTTTGTTTTAATTGACCTTTTATACCTTAAAATTCATTGAAATTAGGGAGAAATAGTTATGTATGTATGCATCATCTGAAAGTATGTTTGTCTGATCCATTGTAGGGTGTCATGATCAAAACATTTCAAACAAAAACAGTTTGCTATTGGTTGGCACGCAAACAATTGAATGCAGCCGTTTCAACCGTATGAGCAGTATATACATATTCAGCTTTCTGACAGAATTTATCTAACAAAGTTATGGTAAACAACTTACCAAGACTAAAAGTATTTGGACTGTGTGTAGAGTAATAAAATAAATATTTTACCTGTGCACTACTTGTGTAGTCTGTTGGGTTGAACAATACCATTGTGGCATGACAGCTACATAGAAAGACATACTTTATCTCTAGTCATAAAACCAGTAAAAAAAAAACGAACTAAGAAACAAATATCATTAAGCCTACATCTGCAGTTAATGTTTCTTCCTCTTTTTGTAACCCTATATTTCTCTGTATGTGATCTCAGCTTGTTTATATGCATATGCAATAATAGACTTGAGTTGAGCGTGTGT